TGCTCATGTAACAATCGCATATGTAATTGTATGTATGTATGAGCTGAATGAAACCCGCGAACAAAGATAAATGAGGCGAAAAAGAACTTGGCAGTAGTAGTGAGTTTTCGAGGATTTCAGGAAAATGTATGATTAAATATGGAAAGTTTTGCAGTATGTGGTGGTAAAACCGAATCAGTTATCTGTTCTGAAAGGTATGTTTTTACCGTGGTGTGAAGGATGTGGCCGTGAACAGTTCTTGCTCGGTGTTAGCATTGTTGGTGCTGTTATCATGCCTCATAACTTATACCTTCATTCTGCGCTTGTCAAGGTTACTGCGCTTTTTTTTCCTCTACCTGCTTTATTGGTAATGTATTAGTGAGACGACAGTGTTAACAGACTGGAGCAAGATAGGCTATAGCAATTAACCTTGCAATACTGATGTTCAAAACATGAAAATTATCAGTAGAAAAGCGGGCAAGGAGCTTCGGACTGAAAACAAAAAATTCGTATTGTCTAAGAGCTTTTCCCTCTCTTTACAGGCACACTGAGCGAGGAGTTTTTCCCATTTCATTTAAACATGATTTCAAATACCACTCTCCAGCAAGTGCCAAATTTTGCAATGTATATATATATATATATATATATATATATACATATACACATATACATAACGTCTATATATGTATATATATGTATATGTAAATATATATGTATACTATATTGAAGTTTTCGGGTGGAAATTTGAATTTAGACACGTTTCTCGGAATAATTTTTTCGGAAAAAAATGCAGTGCATGAAAAGTAACTCGCCGCTTTCACTGTTTATAGGAATATGAATCAACTTTCACAGTATAACTCATCAGCGTTAACTCAGTTTGAGTTTTGATTTGATTGTGTTGTGACAGTAGCAAATCGTCAAGTGGCGATTGCTGCATACGCCTTTGGTATCTCTGTTGAAAAACTGTGCATCGTTGTATGATGTTTCGTAAAATTGCATATTGTATATGATCTGACAGTCTATAAAAGGCTCTAAGCAATGACATGGCAATGATCTAGGAAAAGGGAATATAGGTGTCAGTGGTAAAGTAAAATATCAAGTTAAACACGCAGTAGATGTGAGGTCTTTGTTGAAAATGGTGCTACACCTAAATTATTGCGCAGCTGTGCTTTTCCTGAATAATTTATGATGTATTGTGGTAAACATTATCCCGGGTATTTAAAATTTTCCACAGTGGAGACGACTCATCAGCCTGAGGCAAAATTTGAATTCCTCTACGTTTTTCAGAGCCGTGATGTCGACAGGCGGAGGAAGAAGAATGTTCAGGAAGCAAATTTTTACTTTTTCATTGAGTCCGGTGTTGCTTTATTTTGCAGTTTTATCATCAACTTATTTGTTGTTGCCGTTTTCGCGCATGGCCTGTATAATAAAACGAATTATGAAGTGGTCAGTTGATTTTGTCGGAATTTGAGTTATTTTTATTGTAACGTGAAAAGTTCAATTACACTGTGATTAAAATTCGGGTGTTTCTGCAAAAGCACACAGCTGCTAAAAATGCTTTTCTGTTAAAGTGGGCTGTCGAAGGAGTCCGAGACGGTTGTTCCACTCGTTGGGCGCTTTCGAACGCCAAGTTCATCAAGAACAGCTGCACTGTGTGTTGAATTTGACATACTCGGAACGAAACTGAACGAAAAAGGTATTGGGTTCGGAAACACCAAATTTGAATTGAACTGGAAC